GCGAGGCGGGAGCGCCGGCGGCCCCGGACATCGCGAGCCGGCTGCCGGTCCGCCGCCGTCGCCCGTTGTGTCTCCGCTGCCGGAGCGGCGCCGGGTAATGACGCCGCGACGAGCCCGGACGTGACGGCGGCTGAGCGGCGCCGCAGGTCACGAAGCGGCGGCGGGGCGGGACGCGTCCCGGCGTCATCCGCCCGCGCCGCGGCCGAGTTCAGGCAAGGTTAGCCGCCATCGACGGCCGGAGCACGGCCGGGCCGCGGACGGCCGCTCGCCACCCCATGCACGTGCAGCGGCCGCGGCCCGGCGCGCCGCCGGCCGCCAGACGCCAGATCAAGTCGCCGATTTGCATGCGGCTTCGGCGGCGGCGGTGGCGGCAGCTGGCAGCGGTCCAGGCAGGAGCGGCCGGCCGGGGCTCGCCAGCCCCCAAGGCCAGCGGAGCCGCTCGCCCTCCGTCGCGGCGCAGCGAGCCGCCCGATCGGCCCCGGCTCGAGAGCGGCGCGAGCGCGCTCCCGGGCGCCGATTGGCTGGCGGCGCGGCGGCGCGGCGCGCGCGCCGGCTCTGAGTGGCGGCGGCCGGGCCGGGCGGCGCGCGGCCCGGTCGTCGGCCGCCGGTCGGACCGGTTCTGACTGCCGCCGTTGTGCGGGGTGAGCGACACGGGACAAAGACGGCGTCGCCGGGAGGGGACCGGCTCTGGCACGGGTCGGGGCAGGCGCCGCAGCCAGAGGACGGCTGTCCGGACCGGCCGCCCCACGCGTGCTCCACTGTCGTGCACGCGAAGATTCATATCTCGGCCGGCTTATCAGCGCACGGACCGCTATCATCTGTAGCACCCGGAGTTGAACGGAAATAAAGAACATAAAAATGTCGGTTGCATCACACACAAAGGGTAGGAAGTTGTGCTGAACCGTTGTCTTACGCCCTGCACCGCACTGTAGGGTCACACTCCCCGGAAGATGGCGTGCTCAGTCGCATACGGTCAGGGTCGCGGAACCACCTGAAAATGCGCGCTTCCTACGGCTTCCTTTCTCAGCTGATTCTTTCCATGCAAGAGTATAGTTGGTTCGCGTTAAACTTTCTTAAAGTGGGTGGGTCACGGCCTTCCCAGTCCTGTTTGGACACCTATAAATCGGTCCCATGTGCCGTGCATTATGCAACAGGCGGCGACAAAAACCCGAGAGTCGTGCGTCGTAAAATTGTTTGACGCTGTACGAAAGATAACATACGATATGGCATGAAACGTGATATGTGCAGTAATGAGTAAGTCGGTATCTAAAAAATGTAATTTATACGATGAATAGACAGTAGTTTTATCAAAAATCATATAAGGCATGTACCATACAAACAAGATGCATTAATTGGATCGAATGGCATATGAGACATGTAATATGTGATGCATATACAGAAGTTAATGAAGCTTATATAGGACTCCAAGCCTTCCATATATTTCGTGGAACACCTCCATTGACAATTGCAACTAAACTTGAACTGATCGATATCTGAACATTAATGCACGTATTTTTTGCACACATTGCGCCTCTGTCTAATACTATATCACCATAGGCAAAACAAACTCTCAAACGTACGGCTAAATAATGATCCAACTAAGAAGCAGACTGCACGGGCTAAGTCACACAAAGTCAGTTTTACGCCTCTGCACTCCCTTCGTTATGAGCTATGACCGTTTCGAGCGACATGAAGGCGGCTCTCAGCGCATGCCGGCGAGTTTAGCATGGGCTCATGCAATTCAAAACTTCTAAGCGTGTCTAGCGCGCCGTGACTACCGCCAGCGACCGTGCCGCCGTAAAGCAGGCCGGCCTTAGCGTGGCGAGTGGCGCGAGCAGCCATCTGAGACACGAACCGGGCCGCTACCTGCAGCAGCCGTGCGCCGCCGTCCCAGCCGTGAGCGCCGAGGCGCCGACCACGCGGGCCGACCGCGCCAGACGGCCTGCTGGACCGTGGATCCGCACCTGCCTAGGAGTCAAAACGAGGCATTTCGGTGTGTTCCAGCAAACCCATGCAAGTTTGGTTGAAGGGCTGTTGATGAGCGGGAGCGCGTCGTGATCCGTGTCTACGTTACGTTACGTGTCTCATCGATATCCCGGATCAAGGGGTAAGCTGGCATACTGCCCGGGGGATGCGCCGGCCATTCTCGCGCGCTCTGGGGGACACGGGACCGACGCAGGGGCACACACCATGGCGCCTGGGGGGATGCGCCGCCCACTGTCGAGCGGTCTGGGAGATACGGGATCGATACAGGCGCGCACACCATGACGCCTGGGGGATACGCCGTCTACTGTCGCGCAGTCTGGGGGACATGGGACCGACACAGGGGCGCACGCCATGGCGCCTGGGGGGATACGCCGCCCACTGTCGAGCGGTCTGGGAGATACGGGATCGATACAGGCGCGCACACCATGGCGCCTAGGGGGAACGCCGCCCACTGTCGCGCAGTCTGGGGGACATGGGACCGACACAGGGGCGCACGCCATGACGCCTGAGGGATACGCCGCCCACTGTCGAGCGGTCTGGGAGACGCGGGATCGACACAAGGCGCGCACACCGTGACGCACGCCATGCGGTGAAGACGGCCCGACCCAGCCGTTATCCTACTCAGCTGATCGGCCCTGACGGCCGGCGTGACAGGGTCGGTAGGTCTCCACGCACCAGTGGGCCGGCCTGACGAGAGCCGACGGTCGGCATGACGAGAGCCGGCGGGTCGGCCTGACGGGAGCCGACGGTCGGTTTGTCAAGAGCCGACGGTCGGCCTGACGAGAGCCGACAGTCAGCCTGACGAGAGCCGACGGCCGGCCTGACAAGAGCCGACGGTCGGTCTAACGAGAGCCGACGGCCGGCCTGACGAGAGCCGACGGCCGGCCTGACGGAAGCCGATGGGCTGACCGGTGCGTCAGGAGGACCCTCCCGGGCGGCGGCCGGAGTCGCTCCCAGTGGACCAGTCGTGCCTGTGGGGTGGCATGCTACATGCAGGGCTTTGTCTCACGGGTGCTGGAGGGTTTTCGGTATATGTCGTCCGCAGCGGATGAGGAGGAGAGGATATGGGATGTAGCCTCGCTCAGTTTTGACACGCGTTTAAGTGATCTTGGTTTAGATACGTCCTCCACTGAGGCCCTAACAATGGGGCTCCGGGTTCCCGACGGGCTACTTGCCCGCGACGGCGTGGTGGGGTCGATGTACTGGGCCCCACACTTAGTGGATAACTTATAGACTATTGTTAGCCGTGACACAATGTTTACAACACACGGTTCAGGACACGGGTATGTTATTTACACCGAGTGAATAACATTGCAAATGGACAACGTTCGGAGTAATGGCGGCGTCTAACTGCATGCCACATGCTAAATGCTTTTTCTGCCTTCGACATATTTGTGTATTATTTGGTATTTGTGCTTTAGAGCTACTATAATTGTGCACCTATCTTGTCCATAGTGGTCTGTAAGCAATGTTTGAGATGCAGACGTTTTCAAAATAGCCTTGGCAATGAGACTTGCGCCCGGTTTTGCTAAGCTAGAATCAATCCCAGATCCGAATCAAAGTCAGTGGAGCTGAATCGGAGACTGATTCAAAGCGACTGTTGCAAGCTGGAATTTAATTCGAATCTCACTCCGGTACAAAAGCATATATGAGGTCTGAATGCGAATCAAAATAAAGTTTTAAGTGTTGAAAATAGTACAGCGGATGAATAATTACACCGGTAAATACACAAACATTTATATGCAATAGGGTTGTATGTGTGTCTGGCTACATTCCGAACGGTATCAAAGCCCTTCAGGTGGGTAGGTGATAGAACTGCGCTGTAGGCTGTCATGGTGTGAGTTGTATTAGGGGATAAGAGCATGATTATCGTGCTTCTGGTGTTTACAGGAACTCTCGCGGCATGTGAATACTGACATGCTTAAGATGACTGGAGATATGGACAATCCCAGCGTAAGAGGACAGGGCAGTCCGCCTTTAATCCGTGAAATCCTTGGCATCTGGATGCCCTCAATGTCCCATCCCACCCTCTGCATAAACACAAACCGGGAAGGTGAGTCACACATTTTGATTTTGCAACTAATTTTTCCACACTCCAACGGGTAACACACCGCGCGATGTCAAGTCAACCATGTAAACGCTCCACGTGGCAGAATCATTTTCAAAATGGAGATGAGTAAATTCTGATACTGTTGAAAACAATGTGGACCAACTCTGAATCTGATTAAGTCATAACTCCAACGAGCCAAATCCTGATCCGATTCCGGAGATGGATTCCAATTTGCTGAAATCAGGCAGACGTTTGCCGGCGGCAGAATATGTCTAGGTCGGACCCTTTATTGATAATAATTCATGACGCCAACTCCAGGACAATAGTAGATCTCAAACAGCTACAATCCAACAGACAAAGTAAACGAACAACTTACATAGGCTCACTATTAACAGCCAGTCAAAGCGTATCGCCATATCGAAATTTAACGTGCATGCCAACGGCTCATATTATGCGGCCTGCAAGTAGCCTTGTCACATTTTCTTACATGACACTTACAATATCGCGACATGATACTCTGCACGCCGACACACAGCTGCGCTCCAGCCCGACGTTGTGTCAGCTGGCCGGGCTCCGACCGCAAGCTTGCACCCGAGGACGGGTGATGGCACCTCCGGACCTCCACTCGTTTCCACAAACGGCTCGTCCGGATAGCTGCGAGACGGGTCCCGAACGGAGCCTCTAAATACCATCGCGCTCTCAACAGAGCGCCCGGACGACGAGCACCGGCCCACCTTGAGCCTTGAATCCGGCGACACCACGCGCAGCCGCAGGTGCGTATTAGCGCCATTCACCACCACGCTCGAAAGCCGTTTTCCACACGCGTTGCCGCCATAAGTAAAAGAAGCATGCCCGGTGACCTTGTAGCGGCCCGCAAAGCTGTCCAGCTGACGGGCACCGTTTCCACACGGTCCCATGCCAACGCTGCACGCAGAACCGAGCCTGGTCCGTCGGCATAGCTCACCTGGTTGCTTTCCGTGGGTCCGATGCGACTGACGGCTCAGGGCAACGCCCGGTCTCGACCCCAGCACGGTGACACGCTCGTCACTCCGCACAGCGACCCGCTCACGTCCTCCGACGCTCCGTCACGCGGCGCGTTTGATTCGGCTCGCGGATCGGAGGCGGCCGCCTCCGCTGCAGCTGCGCAGTCGGCCGCCAGGTGGCAGGGTGGTCGTCATACGGCCGGCGCGGCAGCAGGGTCGCGCTAGTTTCAGGAACCGACTAAGATTATAAGCGGCTTATCACGGACGCTGCACCCGCCACGTTAACCGGTGCACCTGAAATGAGAGCTAGATTGCAGAGCGTAAATGGCTGCATTTAAAACACAGCCGGGGAAGCAAGCTATGTTCCGTCAACACAGACGCGCGATCGTGACCCACACCTGCCTTCCTCCCCCGCCCCACTCACGCGCTAGCACACATCACACATCGGCCACAGACTTATTACCCCAATCAGCACCAGAAATGAATAATCCTTCCCTTTACCTACATTAACGGCTGCCATTTTCCCTTATGCCGAGCCAACTGCCATTTCCTTTGCCCGCCGCACCGGATGTGCAGTTTCCTTAGGCACCGGCTGGAATAGCTTACATTACCGCGCATGGCTAACCGCCCGTCGTTCATACTTTGACTTCGCATGCTTGGTCATTTTTCAACCTTTTCCCTCTGGCTACCCACTGGTGCGCGAAAACCCCTGTTCATTGGCTACGCTGTGTTGGGCGCAACGTCCTAAAAAGATCGCATCCATTTAGCCCGTAAGTGAACGCAAGACTCAAGTCAAAGGCCCATCTGTTGCTTGTCACGAGTGGAAGGCTGAAGCCAGTAGCTCGGCTTCGTGGTTCTGTGATACGTTTTAACATATTTGGGCGTTATTTGCCGTCACACCTGAGCGTAACGTTCCGCCCCAAAACATAACCCTCCCTTCACCTTGTTACGTTTCGTTTACACTCCCATCAAAGCTCAACGACATCAGCGAGCGACTGTCATTTCCCCTTTCTGCCGCACTGGCAGTCATTCACGGCTCACCTGCCGCATCGGCTGCCACTCATGGCTCACCTGCCGCACCGGCTGCCATTTCCCTCACAAATGCCGCACCGGCTGCCATTTCCCTCACAAATGCCGCACCGGCTGCCATTTCCCTCACAAAAAATGCCGCGCCGCCTGCCATTTACCTCACAAATGCCGCACCGACTGCCATTTCCCTCACAAATGCCGCACCGTCTGCCATTTCCCTCACAAATGCCGCACCGGCTGCCATTTCCCTCACAAATGCCACGTCGGCTGCCATTTTCTGACGCTATAGCGTTCCGCTTTGAGCTGCCAAGGTGTGGTTCCCATCAAATTTGATATCGAAATCAGTTTGATATCAGTTTCATATCGAAAGCCTGTGTCTGAGGTGCCCGAAACGGGACGGGCGTTTTGATTACGAGGGAGTGAATCGCCCCGCCCCGCAGCCCGGTAGAGTCCCCGGGCGGGACTGGAATCGGGACAAATAACACGAATGCGGAATGAATGAAATAACGCGGAATGCACCTAACTGAATGCCTTTCTGTCGGCACATCTTTTTTGCCGCCGTGTCATTTGGGCGAAATGATAAAAATCGAACGTCGATTTGCCGACATGCATTTTTGCCGGCGTGTCAAACTGCTGGAAATGTTCAAAAGTCGAAATACATATTAACTGAATGCCAGCCTGCCGACACATTCTTTATTAAAATGTTCATTTGCCGAAATGGCGTTAGTTGATTGCCACATGCCGGGGTGTTATTTAGTCGAATGTTAGTTAGCCTGCATGTTCTTTCGTGGAATGCTATCTACCGAAATATGTTTTCGGTTGAATACCTTCTACTTGGACGAAATGCGCTTTAGCCTAATGCTTATTAGCTAGATGTTATTTTCTTGAGAGCTTATGCGTCGAAATGTTGTTATTGATTTGTAGACAGAGGCCCCTCAACCCTCCCTTGTGGGCGCTTTTTCAGCTCACGGTCACCCAGCGAGGGGAGGCCTTAGCAGTCCCCGATCATATCTCAAAAGCCAAGCTGGCTGGAGCCACGCGAAAGATGCCATCGGAAAGCTCTCGTCAAACTGCATCAGATAGGTGTGACCGAACAATGGCGAACATGACTGACAGGTTAAATTAAGTCCACCTTCCTGCTACTGCAGGAACTAAGCATGATACCACAATAAGGAAAATGGCCCCGATTATTTGTTAAAAAACCTATGCCGGATGTACTGGGGAATGGCAAAAATGCACTTGGGGGCTCTCTGCCGGGACTTCGCCCGCACAGGGACCTCTGTACAGGGTATGTGCTCGGCGCTAGGACGTGGATCATACCAGGAACACTTCAGGCCACTCATGACTGACGCATGCATCTTGCTCGGCTAAACGGGGCATCGCAAGCTTGCAGAATGAAGTGAGATTGAGGACAGGAAGAGTGATGAAAAGACGGAAAGACATCGTGAGTCGCGGTGGCGGCAAAATTCCGAGGCCAAAAAGCGAGACATCGAGCCCGCCCCTCCCCATTTTTGAGCAGTCTTGACCTCTCCCAACTTCCTATGTGCACCAGCAGGTGGTGTCCTTGTAACCTGAATGATCTCAGTGACCTCAAGGGCGATAAAATATTCAGCGGCGCATTTGACTCGACTGGCGGGTCACAGGCGGCCAGTGCGCAGGCGCACAGGGCGCCTTTGCCACAGCTAACCAGTTGACCACCAAGCGGCAGGGTAGCCGCCATACGGCCGGCTCGGGCGGGGTTGTGCTAGTTTTGGGAACCGACTAAGGCCTTAAGTGGCTGACCGCCGGCACGCCACCGGACCAGCGTGAATCGGCACACCTGGAGTGGGAGCTAAATCTCAGCACCTGAATGTCTGCACTGTGATAAGCGCCCGAAGACTCAAACCACCGCTACATCGACAAGGGCATTTTTCGACGCAAGAGTATGATCGTGATATACACTTTCACGTCCCGTCACCCACACGCTCACATACGACACATCTGTGGTCTGCTTGTCGTCCCAACGGCGCACAACTGCATCATTTCGTCGCCTGCTCCGTCGGCTGCCATTTCCCTCACCTGCTTCGCCGGCTGCCAATTCGCTTACCTGCGGCACCGGCTGCCATTTCCCTCACCTGCTTCGCTGGCTGCCATTTCCCTTACCTGCTGCACCCATTGCCATTTCCCTCACCTGCTTCGCCGTCTGCCATCTCCCTTACCTGCAGCACCGGCTGCCATTTCCCTCGCCTGCTTCGCCGGCTGCCATCTCCCTTACCTGTCGCGCGGTTTACCATTTCACGCGCGTGCCGCACCGACTGCTCCGGATCCGGAGAAATTCCTCGGAGTGTTCACGCTCTCTGGGAGAACGTATTGTTTACACAAACGACCATCGTGGCCGGGGGCATAGCAACGATTTTCATATGGAGGGAGGGGGGGGGGGGGGGGGAGCGGAGAACTAGGTGATAGGGCTTCACGTCGGGTTGTAAATTTCGTCAGGAGCGATCTGTGTTTTTTTATAATACGACCAAGAGAGCGGGCTCCGCCACCCTCCATTCGGTCGCGCCTGTGATTGTGTTGAATTTCGCTACAGAGCTTATCAAGCATTTCCAGAGAGAGAATGTCCATTTGATTGTTCAGATTTAGGTCGTTATTCTTGTTTTGAAATTACATCTTGAGCGGGCTTGGAATTGCTTGACACCCATGCATATCCAACTGATGACAGCTTTGAAGCTAAGGCACTTAAAGTGATCTTAGATGGTGAAATATTCAGTGCTATGTCAGTATCTCGAAGGCAGGACCCCGCTTAGTTGGTGCCAATGATGGCCGAAGTAAGTATTTTTCGGTGCTAATCGTCCCATTGTTAAGCCAACATTCCCGGGCCAATTTGACGACGTGGAATGACCCTCAAGAGCACCGATCTTCAGTGATGATTTGACCCATTCACTTGTTCTGAGTTCAAATGCCAGGCCAGTTTAATGGTGGCTCAACATGACGCAACTTTGGGTTATCGATCGACAACTTCTTAAAGGCCCTATATCCTTTAACACGCGCTCGAGTGGGGGTGGGGGTCAAATTGATCCCCCGGAAGGTTTTCCCATAATGGTTTCCGAACGGCGCGGCGGCAACCGCGCAACATTTTGCGTACCTGTAGACAATTGAATAGCGGACCGTCTGACATAAAAAATCTAGATGTACCTTTTAAGGTCGCTGGCCTATGGCAGGTCAAAGTCAGGCCGTGGTTTCAGCGAAGGCACGTTCTAGGGAATCGTTCAATCCGATCAAACAACGGAGTGTTAGAAGAAGCCAGACATCCCTGAGATTCTTTCTTAGGCAACACAACAACTGAATAAACAAAAAGCATTGACCTAGGGTCAGGCATGAAAATCAGACCAAGGTCAAAACCAACCTGTTTTATTACTCTCGGGTTTCCCGTATGGGCTGGTTTCTGGTGCTCATTTCGAATATATCGATAGCGGAAACCGCATAATACACCTTCCATGGACTTCTTACACGTCAGAATAGGTCACTGACCTAAAATCACCCAGGTTAACATTTTGTTTCTAGGAGCACGCTGCCTAGCGTAATCTTTGTTGCTTATCCAAATGCAAAACTCAGAACAGTCTTATGTCATTTTGGTCATCATAACCTTTAAAAGGTCAAACAAGGTGACGGACCTTAACTGAGCGTTTGCAATTTTGCTTACGACGGTTGCCTCGGTTCTAGGGGCCCTTTGGAGACTAATCTGAAATTTGGCCTTGTTTGACGTTGGCTGACCTGAAGGTCATGACCCAGGGACTTCAAATTTTGACCGAGGTCAAGTGAGTTCACGTACGGGTCAACACACCCTGTGAATTTGGTGTCTCTAGCTCTTTTAGTTTCCGAGATCTCAGGACGGTCAAATTGAGCCCCACCCGAGCAAAGGGTATTCAACCGGCCACCCGGGCGCGTGAGCAAAATTTTTAACATTATGTTGCTCGCGCAGCACATGGTTTTATGCATACGGCTGATGACTAACATGGTCTGTAGTTTTGAATGCTGCGCTGTGACCCAGCCGAGATTGCGGGAAAAGTACGCATACAAAAATGTCGCATGGCGATTATTCGTGGACATATTTTATATACCAAATGTTCATCAGGAAAGAGTATGTAGGTATTAAGCTCGTAACATCAAAAGTTCGCAATGTAAAAGTTGGCAAAGGAAAAAGATAGCATGAAAAAATGTTCGTTGGAAAAATTTTCGTCTGCTTTTGACAGGGGACGAGGAACTTCAATCTCCAATTGCATAAGTCAGGTCATGTATCATGACTAGCCTCGCTCTTCATGGCACGAAATGAAAACACCCTCCGATCCTCTGGTGGGCAGCAAAATGATACCCTAATTAGTCATAAGTGCAAAACGACCCTAACAGAAAAAACCGTAGGTTAGAAAATAAAAACAAAAACACATCCACCACAGATCTAGCGTTGTTTGCTGCGTTCCCCCTTTATCCCCCATCCTGACCCCTCCCGACCGTGCTGCTGTCTGACCCGCCGCTGACGCCAGCTGACGGCAGCGGCGGGCGCCAGCTGGCTTCTAGAATACTGTGGGCAGCGCCGGTTAGACTCCTGGTATACACTCCCTTATCGAAAGTAACCTTAACACGCGCTAGGTTAGAGGTCAAGTTGACCTTCTAAGAGACTTTGTTCCAGAATGGTTTCCGAACAGCGCTACATAGCCGCACCAATTTTTGCATAGCCGTAGACCATTGAATAGCGGATCGTTTGATTTTAAAAATTTAGATGTATCTTGTAAGGTCGCTGACCTATGGCAGGCTAAAGTCAGGCCATGGTTTCAGCGAAGTCAATTTCTGGGGAATCGTTCAATCTGATGCCAGAACAGTGTTAGACGACACCATACATCTCTGACTACCTTCTCAAACAACGCGACAATTGAATGAACAAATAACATTGACCTAGGGTCAGGTGTGGGGGTCAGACCAAAGTCATAACCAACCTGTTGCTACTCTAGGGCTTGCTGCGTGAGGTAGTTTCTGGTGCTCATTTCGAATTTATTGATATCAAGAACCGCATTATATATTTTCCATGAACTTTTCAGAGGCGAGAATGGGTCACTGACCTAAAACTACCCAGGTCAACATTGTTTTTAGAAACATGCTGCCTAGTGCAATCCTTGTCGCTTATTTAAATGCAAAACTCAAAGCAGTCTTGTATGATTTTGGTCACCATGACCTTCAAAAGGTCAAACACGGTCACTGACTTTAAATGAGCATGCGACCTTTTGTTTAAAACAGTTATCTAGCTTCTGGGGGCACTTTATGGGGGCACACAATGTCGTAACTTTATAAAACTGGACGCTGTATAGAGTTAAAAATTGCATTAAGAATCTACACAAGTTTGCACAACGGAGACGATTCAGCAAAAATTCGAGCTGACGGTGCATGATGTGCCCGGGCGGCCAAGATGTCCTGGAACACTCCACATGAGTGTTGTCCATCCACACTTATTGCAAACCGTTCAATACTTACGAGTCTTGGAGTCTAGCTTTCATCAAACGAACGGTATCCGTTACAAAATTTACGGAATGCATCCGTGCACGAACAATGGTGTCTGTGCTTTAAGCATGTGAGCTTTCCCATACGAGCTTTCATCAATGACATTACTTTATGTACGAGACACCCATATATCTATTTACAAACTTTTGCCTACGTTCTTCTGCCACGCCTTAAGTCTTTAAGCATTTCCTACAGGAACATGAGCATGGAAATTACACCGTCAGTTTCATTGTATGTCGCCAATCACGACACGAAGAAATGACGCTCCCCTCCATGCTTAGATGAGGGTCAGAAATACTGAATTTAAATGCGTATGAGCCCACGTCTGGTTTTTATTCACTGGAAGCCCTCCCCTGCAATGTAAACCCAGCTGCCTGATTCTATTCGCAACTATTGTTGACATTCCTCTCGAACTGACTAGCTCATGCTGTCTGAACTAAGCACAAGTAGGAAGGTGAACATGAACCACAACACAACAGATAAACAAACCTGACAATTGCATGAAGGCTGAGTTACATTTTATGAAAACGCCAAGCTGACATTGCATTGCATGCCATAGCGCCAACAGCCCGAGAACACAAAAATCAATACCCACTATGTCTTGCTGACATCGTGGCACGTGACGACAGGCGGTGCCCAGTCAGACCAATATGCCCGTCAGTGCCTGATGGTGAAGCCCTGGCGGTCGAGCTCGGCGCCTCGAGGCGACGGTGCGCCACCGCCGCCGGTGTCAGTGTTTGACGGTGAAGCCCTGGTAGTCGAGCTCGGCCACCTCGCGCTCGTTGCGGAACTCGGCGCGCTCGATCTTGGATTGCGGGCTGCCCACCTCGCGCAGCCAGCGCTTCATCTCGGCCAGCACCGGCGCGGCCGCCTGCGCCTGGCCCTCCACCGTGTCGCGGGGCGTGTTGCGGCACCATCCCACCACGCCCAGCCGGCGCGCCGCCTGCTGCGTGTACTTCCGGAAGAAGACGCCCTGCACGCGGCCGAACACCTCAAAGTCGACGCTGAGCAGGCGTGGCATGGCGGGCGGCGGAGTGGCCGGCGCGGGGGCGAGCACGTATGGAGTCACGCACCACAGGGCGGCGAGCAGGGCCGCGACCAGAGACACCTGCCAATGACCGGACCATGGTCAGATGGGAGAGGCACACCACAGGACAGCAAGCAGGAGAGCATTGAGCGACTAGGGACACCTGCCAATGACCCGGCTATGGTCAGATGAGAGATGCACCACCCACAGGGCAGCAAGCAGAAGAATTTCAAGCAACCAGGGACACCTGCCAACAACCCATTATGGTCAGGTGAGACACACCACAGGGCAGTGAGCACAAGGGCAATGAGTGACTGCCTACATCATGGCTGTGGTCAAAAGGGAGAGGTACAGAACCTTAAATGGTGGCACTGTCTGATAAGGGTAGGAATGAATGCACGAAATCACATGAGGCTAGTGAAATGAGCTGCTATAAATGGTAGAATGTCTTGATCATTTATGACATGGCTTGTGACATAGGGTATATTTCCCAGCTATGGTATATCTGATGAGTAATGTGTCCACAGCATTGTGTATATGTTCAACAATAATTTAAAAGATTGACAAACGCTGAATGAGTGTTTTATGATGTGCTGATACCTGTGGTCCTATTGTGCCCATTGAGTCAAATGTTATGGTAGCCCATGGGGAAAAAGTTACCCATGCAAAAGGATAAAAAGTAGGAAAAAAGTCAAGCTGTGTGTGTACCTTTCATATCAGGCATATCAAATCAAGGCTCAGCAAGGCCAAACATGAATATAAGTACAACAGGTTTGGGTACAATGGGTGATGCAGAAACATGCAACTACATAGTGGGGTGCCAATATAGTACATTGAGCACCATGGTGTACCAAAAACTCGGCCAGCAGGTGGAAACCCTCCTGCTGGGGGGTATGATTAGGTCCTGGGTCACCTGAATGCTGATATTCTTGAATTGGCTATGAGTGCCTGTGTTTTGATCCATAACATGGGTTCATCATAACAGCTCTGACAGATGGCAAAACACGTGTATGTCGCGCAGCTCAGCAAGTATAGGGGCCCGGTGCTCTCCGCACGTCCGCTGTCCGCCAATGCCCGCCCTACTTCGTTTCAAACCAGTCACCGCCCGGCACCTAAACGGACAATCTTCTAGCAACCAGGGGGAAAGTCGGAAAAATCGCATGAAAATAAACTGCGCCACGGGATGTAAAGAATGCGTCAGAGCTGTCCAAATAGAACTTTGGTAATTTACAGGTATTTGGAAACTGTAAGGATAGGGTCCATCATTGACCTATAACCAACTTGTATAGGTCAATGGGGTCCATCCTGGGCATACGTTAACAGTACAAATCACAAGCACATGTGTATTTCAGTTTCAGAAAATAATGTGGGCACCGAGAATAACATATATTCAAAATCCGTCCTTTTGATGAGAGCTTTACATACCGAAGTTTCAAGCAAAATAGGTAACTTTCTCGCCAAATGCTTACGTGAGCACAATGATCAGGACTCAGACTCACCTGAAATCCAAAATTATGATCAACACAGTCTTGGAACTAGCTAAATTGTTCATTTAAGTGAAAGATGTGCCTGAAAACATGACAGTACGTCCAAGCATATACTGAGTGTATTTAGTAATTTTGATACAGCACTTTAGTGAGATTCATGTGTACAGTAATGGCGCACGATCTTCGATATGAACTTAGTTGACGCTCGATTTTTAACCGTTTCGCTGCTGGTGTAGTCCAAAAGGAATGTTGTGGGTATGGTTGTGATGTGCCATTGAGGTTGTGATTTCATCTCCAACTTGATTGAGAAAATTATACAGGTAAGCGTTACTCAGTTCCACTTTGCACATTGCCTATGGCTGGTGTTACACAGCTATTTACGGATGGAGATCAAAGAGGTGCCATGCAATCTTATGTTCCGAACTTGCAACTGAAAAAACAAGTATCAGGCTGTGAAGATGCCAATATGTAACATGTGTAGTGCAGCAGTGGCATTTCAACATCCGAATTAGTGCGCGTTTTGTGTATACCTGACTGATTATATTTGGAGGCTGCAACAGATCTCAGCTCATGACAAGCCCATAATTCAGGGAATTGGGATGCAGCAAAAGTGAATTCAGGCCAAAAACGATTTGATAATTCAGCACATTTTATGCATGACCTGAGGTTTGCTCATGTGAACACAAGGCTTAATGTACAGATTTCTTCTGGTCATCCATAGTGAATGGAATTTTTTGCAAAGCGGAAGTTGTACACTTGGTAAGTGAAAACCAATGCTTTGGGAGTTCCCCATGCCGACAAAGGCTTTCTGAAGGTAATGAGGCCTTCAAATGAAAGAGAACACTGCCAGCAGTTATGAAGCACTGGTATAAGCAGATCTAGCAATTTCTCATCTGATATGTAATGATGGACTTAGACATGTGGTTCCCCTATGAAGCCAAAGGGATACCAACACCACCCTCAATAATTCATGTGTTAATGCCCTATACCAATGGTTAGGGTCTTTGTTGATAATGGAGACTCCATTGATATGCATGATATATGTTGCTTATTTATTTCATTGACAAAATATGATTGTCTACAAGCTTGAATAACACACTGTCTGAATCTTCTGCAGCTGTTACTAATAGATTATAATCCTTTAGCTCTGCATGCCATTTTTACACTGGCATGCAGCTATCAATGCTTTGTAAATTGTAGGAGTCAGTGAATGGGAGAGTTTGACGAGTTGCTTATTGCACAGTGCCAGCTGATCAATGCATCAACTTTGTATATCATATTATGATTGTGGCTACTTGGAAGTCTTAAGATTATTACTTATAGGAGCAAATTTATTGTCTAAGGCTGGTTATGCTAATCAAAAGACTCCATTTAGCTCTTCCTTAAGCTACATGGTACCTGGATTACTGACATGAAAACAGTGTGAATTGTGCTGGATATAAACTTTTAACTGCCTGCCTTGCTGACATGATCATTGAGCTGACCTCAATACAGGATATTTTGTATTATATGGGCATTGCTGATACATAACATGATCTTACCATCTGCCCTGACAACCATTAGACCAGATGTGCTTTGATTTTCATGACAACACAATTTGAGATAGTTTTGTCAAGTATCTTTGTTACTACCACAATTTTAACTCAAATTTGTCACTATCAGCACCTAGAGGACATGTAGCTGCATGGATTCCCCAGACAAATATTTACCTAATATTCATAAATCACTGATATCTCTGCTTACATGTTTGCCATCCACTGTTGCAATGGGCAGCCCCATGCAACAGCTGGCTTCATGCAACAGGCTTAAAATAATCATTGGCAATCATAGAGGTTGATATAATTTTTCCAGTGTTGTTGCAGCATCATATGATGCCAGTAACTGAATATATTTATATGACTGCATACCCAAGCCAGTGTGTTTCCATCCATAAACCCAGAAACCAAGGGCTCCAACTTCTGCTTGCATGGATCTGCAACAGAAGGTGGTATTACTGCATGCATGCATGTTGTGCAGCATGCCAACCAGTTAAGAGGTATTGCTCATGAGCATTGCTGGTGTGTGTGAGTGGTCGGCCAGAGAGTGGACGCACGCCAGAATCTCGACGCGTGCAAGATATCTGGATAGAGTCACCCATCCCCGGCCGATGTTCGGTCCCCCTGACATCGCTGTCAAACCGGCGAGCTGAGCGCTGGCTGCTCCCGCAGGCGGCAGGGTCTTCCAGCCAGCCCGCGCCCCGTCCGTGCCGCTCCGCGCGGCCGACCGGCCCGCCACCTGCCGGCTACCGGCCCGCCACCTGCCGGCCACCGGCCCGCCACCTACCGGCGACCGGTCCGCCACCTGCCGGTGAGTACCGCCCTGTGACGCCCGGCCGGTGGCTCTGCCGGCAGACCCGCCCGAGGAGCTGCCAGCCGGCGGAGCACCCGCCGGTGGGCTGGATTGTGTCTGCCGGGTGAGGGTTGCGTTACCGGCGGCGCATTGCTGCGAGGTGATTCGACAGTCGTTATAACGCCGGTCACCTGACTGAGATGGCATGGGTGTGAGATGCTATCCGAAAGATATCCCTGTTTACCAGCGTTGGTTTGTTGTTGGCGCACTCCCTCTTCTGTTCACCGCATATTTTCATTAGGACGAGGCAACTATCGATTATTTTCGTTCTAGGTCAGTCATATAATAAATCGCCTTAGTATACTTGCGAACTGGCAACCGCTTGAGACAACGGACCAGATACATCAACGCCTTTTTGTTGTTTAAGACTGTGGCCAAGCTTAGCCAGGCGAAAGGTGAGGCGAGGCCCTGATGGCACATTAAAGGAATGGAAGCGTGGAAGGGTGATAACACCGCTGAAGCAGGCCGGTACGATTGCCTGTCCCGTAGCTGTCGCGCGACGTTTCCGCATAAGCTGACGCGTGCCGCGATCGTCACCGGTGCGCGCCGAGACATCGGCTGATGCAAGCGGGGTGCTGAAGACGCCGGTTCGTCGCGGGCGCCCCGCGTGACCGGCGGGACAAAGTTGGTCCTCCGCTGCCCCGCTGCACGGGGAACGCGCTGAGTGCAGCGGGGCGCTGCCGCCCTCTGTTGACGCTGATCGATGGCGGGCCTTCAGAGCTTGCTGACGTGGCCTGCGGCGGGACTGTGAGGAAGGGGGGGGGGGGATTTTTTGTTGTCCGTTTGAGCGATGTCACTCAGTAGATCGCCTGGTTGCCCTGGACTGCCCCAGCCACCAGATGGGCTTTCAAGTAAAACTGGGATCGATGATATGTTGTTTTTAATGGCTGGGGCTCGGTTCCGCAGGGTCCGCTCCGTCGCCCTGGTAACAGCTGAAGTCATACTGTCCGAGCGGCACAAAAAGCTCACCGACAGTCAGTCAGAATGTTTGATGACTACGTAGCTACCCAACATCGTAGAAACAAACATGGCTGGTGATAACTATGTCACAATATGGTTTTCCGCGAAAATGGACCGAGTTTATTTTTGCATCGTAGCAAACATGGATCTTCGGAGAAGATCGCTGTTGCCGTGACGAAGTGTTTTCGGGCGGACAAGTGTTGTCTGTGTTGAAAAAGACAGCCCACGAAAAACGCCGCTCTACACTTTGCGGGCTTCCTGACTATTCCACGACGTTGCGTTCTATCCAAAATAGTTCATGCGGTAATTTTGTAATTGCAATATCCTCATGACGGCTAGTGCGCGTAGAAACCCCGCAAATGGACGTATAGAAACCCCGCACTGGTACGGTGCGACTGTGTTAAAATGCTACCATCGGCTGTGGATCTGCTGCTGCCTATCTGCCACGAAGAAAATTGCCGCAGCCCACGAGGATAGCTAGGAAATGGGGCCAGTCGCTCGGCTTGCAACTCGTCCTGAAAAGAATCATGCCCACTAAAAATCGCTAGGTTTAAATGTTTACGAAGTTGCGTCTCACCTGGCCATGCGGTGTGCTTAGCTTACCAGGAGTTTTGTGTTAAGGCTTTAGCGGTTCCGTGTGGTTTTTGTTTACACAGGCCTTAATACAGGCATTTACTTGGCTACTTTCAAGTAAGCTACGTCTTAGCTCATAGTACTGCAACCGATGACATGGCGAAATCACCATTGCGTCAGGTTTTCGGGTTTTGTGGAGGCTGGAAAGGTCTTTAAGAATAATTTTTCCTTGTTCATGCTTGAAAAATGAAACAAGAAACCTGTCGGAGTATGCTCAACAGCTTTGAATAGAATGCTGCGCACGAGTAGTTATCTATCAGTTAACGGCACATCTTAGTGTCTAAGGTTTTGCACTTTCGGTGTGCTTAAGCGTTATCTTGGCTGTTCGTAGTCGCGTTTGCATCGCAAACATGAGCTGCCAGGCGGCGGCGCGAGCCGCCAGGCGGCGGCGCGGACAGCAGTGTCGCGTGCAACCGGCCAAAAGTTTAGCGTAAATAGATATTGCAACAACAAAGCTAGCAGCATCCAAATTTGTAGCAGAGGGTATTCACTTCTTGATTGAATTTCGCATTGACGGCCTAGGGCATGAAGTCACGATGGTTACAAAAATGAATATGTCTTACCTCCACATTTTGTTTTGCTCGTATCTCATGCAAATATCCCTCTTATCCATGCATAAGTTACATGTTCTGTATCAAAAGTATGAGGGGCATGGCTGGCAGG